GTAGAATGAGAATGTCACAGAACTGTCAGAAATAGGCTATTTCTGACAGTTCTGTGACATTCACTCCTCCATAAATGGATCCATTTATGGAAACAAATAGATACAATGTTTCAAAACCGCTTATGGAGTGAATGTCACAGAATTGTCAGAAATAGGCTATTTCTGACAGTTCTGTGACATTCACTCCATACAGCGGTTTCAACAACATTCACTCCATACAGCGGTTTCAGAGGCGCTCTGCAGATACACACTTTTTTTTGCCGGCTTGGAATTATTCTTATTTTCATCCACTTCTTCTACAGCGGTTGAAACATCTGTTTCCGAATAAAAAACATCTGTATCCTAAATGGAAACAAATAGATACAATGTTTCAACCGCTGTACATGTGAAGGAACTGTCAGAGAACTGTCAGAAATAGCGGAGCTCTCTGCAGGGACACTTTTGCCCGGCTGATCGGGAAAAATCCGATTCGCGCACCCGAAGTAGGCAAATATTCGGATTCGACGCGAATCGAATTTTTCCTGAAATTCGTATCGAATTCCACTTCGCCTGGTTCGATTCGCTCATCTCTAATTATTATTATTATTATTATACAGTATTTATTTGCATAGCGCTAAAAAGTTTGCTCAGTGCTGTACATTATAGTGGGGGACAGTACATGAGACAATACAGTAACAAAACAAAACACGAGGGGTTCAAGGGCCCTGCTCTTTCCAGTTTACAATCTAGGAGCTAGATGAGACTGTTTTCTGCCAATCCTATGGCTCCATCTAGTGGAACACAAGAAGCCGAGCGGCTACAGTGAACAACTACAACTACTACTACAACTACAAGCTGAAGCCGATTGGGACACAGTGAGAGAGGTCAGCACTGGGCAGTGGCCTATCTTCCATGGGTGCGGGGATGTCACTGTGCTCCGACAGACACTGCACCCATGGAGGATGCATGTCAGGGGCAGGGGCAGAACTACCAGTAGGGCCAATGGGGGGGGGCCACTGGTCCTCCTGTGGGGGGCGCAGGTACACAGGAGGAGATCGGGCACACAGATGTCAGCAGAGGGAGGGGGGCAATTACAGAAAGATGCCTTGTATCTGTCTCCCCCCCCCCCCCGTGGGTACCAAGGCTGCATCCGGGTCCTGCACCTGTACGGAGGTCAAGCAGGGCTATGACAGGGGATTTGGGACGTCCAGCACGGAAGGTGAGAGCTGTGAATGTGGAGTGCTAGGTGAAGGAGGGAATAGGATGGATAGGAAGGAAGGAGGCTGCTGAGTGTAGTAGAGGGGGGGGGGTAAATTCTAGGTGCAGAGGGATGAGAGGAGGGGATGGGGGCATATTCTAGGTGCAGAGGAGGGGATGGGGGCATATTCTAGGTGGTTAGGGGGGGGATGGGAGGGCATATGCTAGGTGCAGAGGAATGATAGGGGGATGGGGGGCATATTCTAGGTGCAGAGGGATGAGAGGAGGGGATGGGGGGCATATTCTAGGTGCAGAGGAGGGGATGGGGGCATATTCTAGGTGGTGAGGGGGGATGGGGGGCATATTCTAGGTGCAGAGGGAGATGAGAGGGGGGGATGGGGGCATATTCTAGGTGCAGAGGAGGGGATGGGGACATATTCTAGGTGGTGAAGGGGGATGGGAGGGCATATTCTAGGTGCAGAGGGGTGAGAGAGGAGGGGATGGGGGGCATATTCTAGGTGCAGAGGGGGATGAGAGGGGTGAATGGGGGGCATATTCTAGGTGCAGAGGGATGAGAGGGGTGAATGGGGGGCATATTCTAGGTGCAGAGGGGTGAGAGGGGGGATGGGGGGGGGGTTGCATATTCTAGGTACAGAAGGGGGGATGGGGGGCATATTCTTAGTGCAGAGGGGTGAGAGGGAGGTGGTGGTGTCACGATGGGGGTGCAGGTGGTGCCCCCCCATCAGTGTTGTCATCCCTCTGTAAGTATAGGGATGTTGGCTGCACCTGTCACAGGGCTGAGTGTCTGTTTTCAGTTCTTACTGAGCCCAAACACCACAGTTCTCCCTTCCACAAGAATGTCACTATTTAAACTGAAGAAAAAGAGAGGGGAAAAAAATTAACTGGAATACATATAAAATGCACTGGAACGCATCAAAAACACACCGGAACATGTAAAAAAACGTGCATGTGGATACGCATCTGGAGACTAGTCTGAACCAGCCCTAAGGGACAATTCACACTGTTGCATTACGGTCCCATGTGTTACCGCAACGCATGTTACATACACCAGCGCACTGAGGTACCATTGATTTTCAGTGGCACCCCAATGCGCTAAGGCAACGCACATGTGTTACAGCTCCGCCTCCCTCCCTATGCCCGCCCCTCACTCTCTCTCTCTGCCCGCCCACATTCTGTACAGCGGCTGTGTTGTGTGTGGAGAACACGGGTGGGCAGAAATGTTACAGTAGAACTATAGGCAAAACTTTTTTTTCATTTTGGAGAGTAAGGGAGAGTACAACCCTTGTCAGATTTTTTTTTTTTCACCATCTGTGTCCCATTGCAGAGATTTCTCTTCACTTCCTGTCCCATAGCCAAACAGGAAGTGAGAAAACCCCTGCAAATTCAGGGAATTTCTTTGGGACCCCCACATCACCAGAACTAGTGTCCCAGTTGGAAGATTGCCCCTCTATTACCTTTCTGGGGACAACCCAAAATGTGGGAATTTCCTTCCACTTTCAATGATAATGGTAAACAGGACAAATAGAGAGGGGTAATCTCCCTAACAGAGGCACAGACAGCAATAAAAACTGTCCGGGGTTCTAATCCATCTCCACTCTGTCCAAAACCCAGCTCTCGCATTTTCTGAAAGCTCACCAAAAGCCCTGCATGCTGCCTCATTGGTGCTCCTTCAGAAAACCCAGCAAAAACGTGCAACCTAATAGAGGTCTATGGGACTGCGACTATAAGTGGGGGTAACATGCAGGAAAACTGCGAGTACACCATCACTGCGGCCAAACCACAGCACACTAGTGTGATCCCAAAGGGGGTGTTCACACTTGCAGCAGGCACTGTCACTCCACTGAAAAGTGATCCATGCTCAGGTCACTTTTCAGAGGTTTTTGGCAGACAATGAGGAGGCGATATCACATTTCCCCATTGCCTGTTGTAACCTCCTAAATGCCAATCTCTCCAGGTAATGGCACGATTCACTTCCACATCCACGTGGAGCACTTTACAGAACATCTATCCTTTCCTACAGGGCACTGTGGCAGGCTAGACAGGAAAGAGCCCGATGGGGCAGGGGGACACCATGATTTACAGCACCAGGTGACAACAACCCTAGTGATTCTACTGGGGTGAACTGTGGATAGGGGGGGATGTTCTAGGTGCAGAGGGGGTGAGCTGTGGATGGGGGGGTGTTCTAGGTGCAGAGGGGGTGAGCTGTGGATGGGGGGGTGTTCTAGGTGCAGAGGGGTGAGCTGTGGATGGGGGTGGGTGTTCTAGGTGCAGAGGGGTGAGCTGTGGATGGGGGTGGGTGTTCTAGGTGCAGAGGGGTGAGCTGTGGATGGGGGGGGGGTGTTCTAGGTGAAGAGGGGTGAGCTGTGGATGGGGGGGTGTTCTGGGTGAAGAGGGGTGAGCTGTGGATGGGGGGGGTGTCCTAGGCGAAGAGGGGTGAGCTGTGGATGGGGGTGGTGTTTCTAGGTGCAGACTGGTGAGCTGTGGATGGGGGGTGGTGTTCTAGGTGCAGAGGGGTGAGCCATTACCAATTAATAGCACCTGTGGGCAGCGCATTGACGCATGGCACAGGACATTTACACATATTTACCGCATGACATTACAGTGTGAATTGACCCTTAACCACTTCAAGTCCGGACACTTTCACCCCTTCCTGCCCAGGCCAATTTTCAGCTTTCAGCGCTGTCACACTTTGAATGACAATTGCGCAGTTATGCAACACTGTACCCAAATTACATTTTTAGCATTTTTTTGAGACAAACAGTAATTTCTTTTGGTGGTATTTATTCACCACTGGGATTTTTTTTTTTTAGCTATATAAATGAAAAAAAGCCAGAACATTTTGAAAAAAGGTGTTTATTTTGCAAATAAATAATCTTTCTTCATAAATCTTGGACAAAATGTATTCTGTTACCTTTTTGGTAAAAAGAAATAACCTAAATCTGTATATAGAAAAATAATTGTAATTTTTCAAAACTTTTTTTTACATTTTTTTGTAAATATTATTTATTTGTTTATTTTTTGTACATACCGTCATGGTACATACTGTTACACTCTGATTGGTTTTTACACCCCATAAGGCTGAAAAAGCAATCATTTCTCCTTCTCTCTGGCTGCATTCCTGGAGCTATTGAGAAATACTGTGAGAGCTGTAATTGGTCACAGCTTGTCACATGGTACAAGGCTGCTATGAATGACATTGTACCATGTGACCTCAGTGATCATTCACAGAATTCACAAGTAGTGAACAATGATCTGTGTTCCGGACACAGTGGGCACAGATTGCGGTGATGCGCGCTTCCAGGGAGCGCACACAGACATTGGATGCGGGGGGACATTTAGAAACATACGCCTGCATTGGCAATGCTCCCGTCTGTCCGTTTATCAGCATAGGCCAGACAAGAAGAGGATAATCGCTTCCCTACCGCCGAATGTATACATACCACCTCCTAGGGCAGCAGTTATCCAGAATTATGGTTGAGGCTACAGCCATGATCCTGCTATCGTTTTGTAGCTCCAGTGATTCTCTTTTACGTAAACGTAATCTGAGCGGCTAAGTTACAGCTAAGGTGTTACGATGAGCTGTAACACATGTGCGTTGCCTTAGCGCATTGGGGTGCCACTAAAAATCAATGGTACCTCAGTGAGCTGGTGTATGTAACATGCGTTGTGGTAACACATGGGACCGTAATGCAACAGTGTGAATTGTCCCTTGGGGCTGGTTCAGACTAGTCTCCAGATGCGTATCCACATGCACGTTTTTTTACATGTTCCGGTGTGTTTTTAATGCGTTCCAGTGCATTTTATATGTATTCCAGTTAATTTTTTCCCCCTCTCTTTTTCTTCAGTTTAAATAGTGACATGTGCGTTCCAGTGCATTTTTGGTGTGTTTTGGTGCGTTCCAGTGTGTTCAGGTGTGTTTTTTGATGCATTTTATCAAGTTCCAGTACAGTTCTGTGCAGGAAAAATACAGCATGTTCTACTTTTTATTCTGCAGCCGGAATGCACTGGAACTGCAAGCACCACTGATGTGAACTATGACATTGACAACCACATAACTTATTTTCTGTGCGTTTTGGATGCAGAAAAAAAGCAACTGAAATGCACGTAGTGTGAACTGGCCCTTAATACACAAATACACAGATGAAAACCAAACATGAGAGCTGTTTACCTGCCACATGAGTTGCATTTCTGTCTTTTGCTGTTTTACTTTAACTTAGGGCTATGACTAGGTGCTGGGGTGAGCTGCAACACATGTGCATTCCCTTGCCTGCATTGGGTGCCATTGATCATGGTTGGTAAGGTAGGTTGTGGCAACATGTTACCACAACAGAACAGTGTAATTGTGCCAAAAAAAACAAACTTGAGAGCCGTTTACCTGTTGCACGGTTTACAGTAGCAGAAGAGGGATCAGCACAATGGATGCATCCTACTGACTGTAAATTATGTCCCTTGCGCTGATTTTTCTGTTTGTGATTTTGGCTGCACTCAGGTTTTAGGCCCCATGTACACGGGACACTTCTGAATGATGGAAACTGACTGCTGGAAAACGTAGGTTAAAAAAAACGTCTGTTTAGCAGCGTTTGCATACCGCGTTTATGTGCATTTATGCGTGTTTGTGTTTAGGGGCGTTTTTTAAAGATAACCTCAGGAGAACCTCCCAAATGCCCAGAATGCACTGAAAAGTGGTAAGTTATTAACTATTTCAGACCGTTTCAGAGAAATACAGAGTAGAAGCAGACACAGAAGTATGTGTTGAGATTAGCTTAGGTGTGAATTGCTCATTAACATTTCTTTTGTTTCCAAGGGTGGGAAAGGTGTCTGGTGGAGTGAGTCATTAAGGCCACCTGGCAGGGGGTCTTCATGAGCAATTTGAGGTGTGAATGGTCATTAACATATCTTTTGTTTCCAATGGTGGGAGAGGTCTGAGGTGTGAATTGGTCATTGCAATGTGTCACAAGCTTGGTAGGAACATCCTGTGTTTAGTGTTTTGTCCATCTGGGTACCTTGAAAACAATTTGCATGCATTTTTCATGATGAAAAAAGGCTCTGGACAGCATTGGGAACTGGAAGAGTTAAAAAAAAATTTCAGCCGCAAACACTTATAAACGCGATTTGCCGCATTTACAAGCATTTAGCCACGTTTACAAGCATTTTGCGTTTTAAACCCTGATATAATCGACTGCTGAATGCAAGTTTTCTGCGTTCAAAAAAACGACTGTAAACGACTATAAAGAAGATGTGCACATAGACACATAGGAAAACATTAGGGAGAGTTCAGGGGCTGCTGAAAAAAGCGCTGAACAGCTCCTAAACGTAAGTTTATCAGCTGCAGTGTACATGAGCCCTTAAGGTTCCATGCACACTGGGCTTAAAAAACGCTGCTTCTACATGAGTTTTGCATTTTGCCTGTAGAAGCAGCGAAAAGTTTCGCTGTGTCCATACACATTACGACATTTAGAGGCATATTCTAAGCTCAGCATTTAGAGACAGAAAAAAAACCCCTCTGGTTTGCTTGTTTTGAAAGGAGTGTTCTGTCAGAATAATGCTAAACACGTGCACAGAAATGCTGTATGTAAGCATTTTTTTTTGCCAAAGGAACTGGCTTCAGTGTTCATGGACCGTAAGGGCCCTTTCACAATAGAAACTGTATGTGATTCGCACAGGAATGCTGTGCAGTTCCTGTACGATTCCTATGCAGTTCTGTTTCAGCCCAGAAAGCGCACCGCACCAAAAGTAACACATGCAGTACGTTTTCAAACGCACTGCAGCCAGATTGTATGGTACTTTTGTATCATGCGTTCCAGTGCGGGCAAACAGGCTGTGTTTGAGGCTCGGGTTTGGGGTGTCGTTAACTTTGTATTGACATCCACTGCTGATCTCAAAGGCAGTGTGATTGGAATGCAGTGCAGGAAACCGCAAGGGAACGCAGGTTTCCCACACCGCATTTCATTGTAAAAGGGCCCTAAAGCTGAAATCCAGGCACATATAGGTGAATTAGATAAGGACTAAAAATGTCTATTGATTATCTGCTCCTGTCCAAATAAATCATTCTAGCTAACTTTGGAATGTGCGCACACATGTGCGCACACTGGAAGAGACTCACGCTGACACACACACAAGTTCAGTCTATGAACACTTTATTATAATGAGAAAGTGAGCTTATATATGCAAAATGATGCAAGAGTCATGTGAGAACAGCATAAGCATTATATTAGTCTTTAATTGGTCATTTCCACATGAAAACAATCTTCCTCATACTATAGGTGTGATCTTCTTCCAAGCCTTATCTATAGAAAGAAAAACATTCCTTTGTCTCAAGTTGGCACGATGGGAGGGGGGGTCGGTGCATGTGAGCAGACATTTCTTAACCTCCTTGGCGGTATGATTCTTTCCGATTTTTGGTGCTGAAAGCGGTACCATTTTTTTGCATGGAAATATGTAGTTTTTTTATTGTAGGCCTGTAATTCTTAGGAATAACTCACTGAAATCTGTCCGAACAAGAGTCTAGTAAACATCCCAGGTATGATAAAATTTGAAACATGTAATCATAAATTATAATTTAATAAATAATCATAAAAAATAATAATAATAATACATTTAATTCAATAATATAATCAAACCAAAAACACTGAAATGTGAAATATAGCGCCAAGTTAGCACATTGCTGAGCAAAGTCGCAAAATCGTTTTCAGTGTCTGATGACGAATTTCCCCACAAATCATTATCACTCAATTCTGCAAGTGGTTCTGATTTACTATCGTGTTCTCCTAGCTGATCTAAACCGCTTTTGACCTAAAGGGACACTTTTTGGACGCCATGGACATTTCTCAGTTTCCAGGCAGAAAGAACAGACAAAATGCAGGCAGGGCGCAGGACAAAGCATTAGGGACAATATGTATGTGAAATTGGTTGAGACAGCAATGTTTTACTATGTAAAATGTAAAAAAAAAAAAAAAAGACATTTTTTAAAATTTTTAAATTTCCCGCCGCCAGCGGCGCCCGTTTGTCCCGATGTCACAGGGACAGGACACAGAAGCTGGATGCCGGCATCGGCCGGAGGAGATGGCCGGGGACACTGCAGGGGCCACATCGTGGAGCCAAGGGTAAGGTAAGTGAAGAACAAATGCCGGAGCAGTGCCGCATGGTATTCCTAAGTGTAGCTCGGGGTTACCGTTTGTGGTACTGAAATGTTACCCCGAGCTACACTCGGGAATACCGCCAAGGAGGTTAAGCAAGGATTTCTTAAAGTACCACAAAGCCTAGCAGGCAGAAAATATACACACAACATATGTATTCATACTAAACATTTAGAAATATGAAGAAAGAAATAGTGTTAAAGTATAAAAGTAAATATGTATAAAAATGTGTAGAAAATGTGTATATATATATATATATATATATATTCAAAGGAAACGAAATAGGCATTTTACCATATCCATCACATAGGCATCATGCATACTGAACATTTATTCAGTTCCCCTGAATGCCTTTTCTCCTAGATGGTAAAAGCTTCTTTTAAAAACGCACTTAAAGCTGCGATTTTCACATGTGTTAAGGCGTGTCAAGCATTTGAGCGTTTATGGATTCCTTTGGCCAGAATATTAATTTATTTTGGCCATTGGAATGAATGAATGCTCATGCGTCTAGTGTTTTGTCGCGTTAAGCACTTTTTATGCTCAAACACTTCTCTCCTGAATGTGCTGTTAATGGGTTTTATTTTTCAACCTGTAAGCACTCTTCTTCTAAAATGCCTGTATGTGCACGGAGACATCGGATAACATACAGGTAGGTTTACAGGCTGAAAAACAAAACCCCACACACTTGTAAACGCTGTGTTTATTCTGCCCAGTGTGCATAAGAACATATGAGGCTTAAATTAATGAATCAGTAAATGTATATTTTTTCCAATGTAAGCAGATGAATTACCTGAATGTGACTTGGTATCAGCCTCTTGCAGCCTGCTGTACAACAGAGTTTATAAACGGGGAGGATGAAGCACCACAAGGAGCTGATCAGGGTTTTTTGCTTTGCCGAGTTTAATAAACAGCTGCTCACGTTTAATTACACTCTGGTGGAGGAGGTGCCAAATAAGGGACAATGGCACTCAGCCTCCTGCTGCACAGAGATTTTCCAGCACACGGGACAACAATCCAGGCTCCAGACTGAGAGTGATTATCACTGGGGTTGATTAACTCTGCAGTTAACCCTTTATACAAGCCAACAACAAGTGCCAGCATATATTTTAACAGAAGCATGTACAGTTCACATGGCACTTGCTGCCACGCAAACAGGGAAGTTACAGAGTTTGAACTGTGGTTCTTTATTGTGTGCCCGGGTGGCACATGTGCAGGGTCCAGCCCCTCTGCCAGCAGCCTGTCATAGCTGAACTACATGGTTGGACATTGTACTGGGTGGTAATCGCATTTAGGGCCATATATGTTCAGGGATGTATGCCCAAAACGCAGGTATTTTGCATTCCAGTGCTATGTCTCTGAATGCATACAGCCCTAAATGTGAGCACCACCTGGTACAGGATCCAACTGCTGCATCATTGAAGACATTTAATTGTTCTCTGAATGGTGCTCATGCGAGCAACGTCCTGTGTTCACTATGCGTAGGGCAGCCGCTCACCACGAGACCCAAGAGTTAGTGGTGATCATTGTAGAAACTGTGTCTAATACAGTGATCTCCATCTACCATGGGGACCCCACATTTATGGCACATGCATACGTACATCGATCCAAGCTAGCCCAGTGTAGCCATGTAAAAATTGCCATACTTAAATTTCAGCTTTATAAAGTGTTTAGTTACAATATATTTTCATTACAATATATATGGATCTATACATTTCTGGTGGCCCTATGTAAACCCAAATTCCTGGTTCAGTTGTGTCAATTACTGCTTAGTAGGGTAATGGCCATCACTTTGAAATTTGCTCCTAATGCAAACTGCACTTAAAAGTAATTAGAAACAATAATGGGCTCCTGTTATCCAGATGTCCTGTGGATAATTCAGCTATAAAAAGCAGTATTTAAAGACCAGGAAAATACATGTATGTACACACAATGTCTCATACATGGAACACAAACCTTTATGTACATCCATCATATCCATTTGTGGATGGG